TATTCCATTATATCCTAATTTATAAAGCTACCCGGTTGTTTAAAAACTTTTAACCTTACAAATGTATGTGCGCCCGAAGAGAAGTTGTTAAGACAGAAATTCTTTATACACGCATATACTCAAAAAGTAATTTTGATTTGCCACGAGCTATCAAATCCAAAACAAATCCTAACATTAAGAAGTAAAGGTGTCTACCAGACATAAACAGGTTCAAAATAATAATAATAATAAAAAACATATTTCACCAATAAGAAGTTCTTTCACTCATTCAAGGTATACATCAATCCAGAAAAAAGACTAACTGGGAAATGAAACTTATCTGGATAGTATGTAAACGAATATAGAGGCATGCTGAAAGCCATGCTTGGTGTAAAAGAAGAAACGGACGAGGTTGACTCATTTCTCAATAATTATACTTATATCACAGCATAGTACAATTGCAGACTTCAGAAAATACAATTGTTATCACCTTGCGGGGCTTTGTCTTCTCTCTAACTATTAAGACATGCTAATACGCCGACAACACAAAGGAGAATCTTCCCTTTTTCTCTCGAAACCAGCCAGCACCATCTCTCTGCTTAACTCAAAATACAAAATTAGTTTCACATACAAGGTAAAAATAAAAATATCAAAATACACTATATCGTTTTACAACTTTTACCACAAATACCGTAATTAAATTATATAAAAATTTAGTATTGTAAAAATATTAATTAAAAGTTATTTTTATTATACAGTTCAAAAACTGAGGACGTTTTCTTGTCAATTTATTTGATCTTGGTTGCTCTCTCTGAACATGTTTATGAAACACTGATCAGTTTCACAACAAAAGTATCAATCTCTTGGTAACTTTACCTGGTTCCAAATCTCGTCGAAATCGAGCTACCTGTTTGGGCGTTTAATTTTTCTTCATGTGTAAGGTGAATAAAAGTTAGTTTTCCTTACAAAAATCCTTCATGAAAGCATCTCTTCCCTTAGTCAGACAGTCTTCGCGTTCTTTGCCGTAATCAAATAATCCATTTAATGCTTGGTTCTACCAGTAGACAAGTGTTTAAAAAAGTTGAATACTGGGATTTTGACTCAAGTTTAGTACCAGGCGAACGGATTGGCTGCATGTTTGGTTTTCGTGGTTTTTACATGCATAACGTGAAACGAGTGAGAAGCATAAAGAGCGTAAAGACTTCGGGGAAAGATTCCTCCACGAAGGCATTCCTCCCGTTAGGTAGATAGCCTTCAACGTGCGCTGCCATATTCAAATAACCTAATCTAACCATATAATCCTTTTACTTGATAGATTTTTAAAGAGCAGCATTCATTTATTTTACAAGGGTGGCACATTGAAGCGGCCCCAGCAGGAAGAAATCGAAAGACAAATATTGATTTGGAGAATGGTGAATGACAGGAAAAACAAACTTAAATGGCTGTATGATTGGTTGATCAACTGATAATCTCAAAGCATAAAACGCGAGAACTCTTTTCTTGAAAATGGTGACTTCATGGAGGACTGTTAAAGACAGATCTGCTCATATTTACGTTATGCATGCAGGAAATCGCAAGAAACCGATGCATCTAGCCTGTTTGATAAGAATTGCACCTCAGATGAATCGCCCATTTTCATCGGCAGGGGCGTAGCTAGAGGGGGGCAAGGGGGGACATCTGTCCCCGGGCGCAGAATCCAAGGGGCGCCAAATTGATGTTACGACATTTTAGAATTAAATGTTTTCCATCCTTGGCAAGCAGTTGGGGGCGCGAAATCTTCAGTTGCCCCTGGGCGCTGAAAACCCTAGCTACGACTCTGTTCATCTGCCTTGTCTGCTGGGTTATTGTTGGAGTGGCATGGATGAATGTAACTAAACATATGGCATTAGACCACAGGGAATGGGTAGCTTTATGTGAAAAACCTGGAATAAGAGACTAATGTGATGAGGAATTTTTCACATAAAATCTGCCATTCGTATTTTATTTCACCAGGAAAGAAAGATGCAAATGTAAGTTCCTCCTACCTTAATTCAAATATATTGGCTAGAACACAATGTTTGCGCATTTCTAAGGTAGTAAATAGTAGAATCTTTACTGTCATAAGATAATATGCACCAAACAATTGCTTGCAGAAACATATAAGCCCCAACATTGTTGGCCATTTTTAAATTAAATGTGCTATTCTTATCTCTTACGATAGCGTTCTCGTTTCTAAAATAAGTATTGTCAATAAAAATATCTTAAAGTGTATCATCTTATTTAGCTCATTGTTTATTAAAATAACTAATGCAAGAGTTACATTTCTTACGCTTACAAAAATTTTTACTACAGTCGAAAAGGACTGAAGATTAAAGCATGTTTCTCGCTGGAAATATTAAATCGACGTTTGCTGTATAATAACGGCAAAAAACGAATAGCAAATTGAATTCACTTACATACATTTAAAAGACACAAATTCACTCCTATTGAGAAAGCTTAGTGCAACAGTTGAAAAAAATCTGATGTGTACACCACATGACTTCCTTCTATTGGAATATTAAATTGGAATATTAAATTATACGCATTTTTTCTTGCATTTCATTTAAACTTATTGGATTGAATTAAATCTACTTCGCCAACAGCGCATAAACCACAATAGAATAAATGCATTGTTTAAAATTCATTCTAGTATTTGTTTACCATAGCGAAACTCTGGCGCTAGATTCACTTAACATTATTAATAATTATATAACAGTTAACTTATATAATAATTATATAACGGAAACTAAGTTAACTGTTATATAATCCAATAATTATATAACAGTTAACTTATATATTTCGTTCATATTCTAACTCATAATGCACAAAATTTATATCATTTAAAGAATAGAATTATCTAATCGTTGCCACATGTTCTATTCAAATACTATAATAAAGCTAGAATGATGTATAAAAGAAATTAAGAAAACAAAACAAAAAAGAAACAGTTTTACACAGACGATTGAGTATTTCTCATTCAATTAATTCAGTTCTCACTTCGCGAAAAGGCAAAAATACATAAAAACTCAAAATATCTATATTAAAAATTACGAAGTAAATCTTAAACACTTATTTACTCGAAAAAATTCCAGAAAGAATTAAGCATGATTTAATTGGCAATAATAAATGAATGCGTTATCTTTGTTGTTGCGAAGCTAAGTTTCTCTATATTGGCAACAAATCCACTAGTCTCCTGTTTCAAATGTAAACATCAATGGCCGCCATTAAAAAAAAGGGCTTAGCGACACTTAGACAACTTTAAAATTGTTGATAATTCTAAAAATATTGCATACAGATTTACTAAAGGCATAAAAACCTTAACCGGAAGATAAAAACAACATAATACAATCATTTTTAAAGCAAAAAATGTGCAATTTACAAACATATAAGAGTAAAGAAACTGAGATCACTGAGCCGGGTAACAGAGTGGATATATATAATAAATATTTATATACGTTTGGTGGTGCGGCCGATTGGCAACCAAAATACGAGGTGCACATCTAACATGTTATAGCAGTCCTATATACAAAAATTTCAACGTTCTGAGGCTACTCGTTTTTTAAGTTATGCGAGATACGTACGTACGCACGTACGTACATACGTTCGTACAGGCGCCACGAAAAATTCTCTTCAGAATTAATTTTAAAAGCAGTTTTATAATTTTTTTTGAAGGAAAAGAGTCTTTTATTCTGTCCTTACGTACAGATATCACGCAAAAACATCGTTAAATTGCATTCGATAGCGGTCAAAATGGATATTTTCGTTGAAATATGCTGCCTGAAACTTTTCGCGATTACAATACTTCCTTTTCACTTCGTACAAGGAAGTAAAAATGATGGCCCTTACGCATTAACGCAACCAATTTGATGCAATATGGTGATATTTTACAAAAGAAGAATTACAACTTTTAATAACAACGTATTATTTATTAAATATATGCATAAGCATTTTACTTTTTAATTAGGTTTGATTTACTAGTTTAGAATTCAAACAACAATTTTATTTGTTAATGGCGAAGCACGCTAGGGAAAAGGATGCCGTCGTGCCAAGACTTTCTATGAGGAACTGGCTCCTATACACGTTAAACGTGGGGGAAACACGAAAACGCTGATGCAGCCAGCCTGTTCGCAGGGATTCCAACCCCGGACCGAACTATCAGTGTTCAGCGACTTCACCGCTCGGCCGCTGTAGGCATTTCTAATTAGAAATTTATATGGGAAAATCAATCTATAAACCCATATACAAGTACGATTTTTTTTCATATATTACACCCGCATATATTTAAAATTGAGTTTAAGGCAAAAAAATTCATGCTTTGTTTTTAAGAACTTAGAATGCAACAGAAAGAATACATACAAAAAATGGTGACGTTCTTGACTGAAGAAGCTGTTATGCGCATGGTGAATTCCGGTAACCATGGCGAGTTCTACTGAGATGATTGAGCTAATACGTAAATACCCAAAATGGATAATAGTCATCTCTGAGGTTGGTTAGCTAAAAAAAAAAAAAAAAAAAAATAGGTGTTTGATAATTTAAGGGGGAGAAGACTATGTGACAGTTCAGTGAAGGCGGTTTCACGAACTTTTAAAGAGCTATGCGAAAAATAATATTTTAACTGCTCGAAATTGTTAAGATCGAAAATTTTGTTACTGGAAGATGACAGAAGTTGTGCAAGGGAAATGAAAAGCAAAAGAGCAGACAAATCAATATTTAAACATTTTCGTTGACCAAAAATAGTTGAAAGAAACACAATGTATTTTCCACCTTGAACTGAATTGAAAGGTCTGCTTAGTTCCACCCCCGTCGGGTATCAAATTAGGTCGTAAGCCCCCACTGAAAACTTTAGATAACTAATTATTAGGTTATTAGGTCACATATGCGATGCTGACCACCCTCCCGCGAGTCGAAGGAATAAACAATCTGAGAAGAGATTAAAGATGGGAGTATAAAATCTCGGAACTTGTCAAATGGCATCATTCGGTCTCCAGCTTCCTTTGAGTAAAGCCGAAGTTTGACTGAAGAGAGAGAATTATCTACACGATATATTATTGAAACATTTTGTTTGAAGTAATGGGCATAATTGAGTAGCTCTAACTGCAAATTTTGGATCCGTGTATATCGAAAGGTAAGATGATTTTCTCTTATTTTGCTCTGATTTTATACAGATTGAGATGTCAGTTTGTTACAGAAACAGGTAAGTGTTGTTTTCAGCTTGCAATTCATTGTATAACAAATGTGATTTATCTGTTCCATATTTCTCACAAAAGAAAACTCGGATCTTCGTGCTTTTTCGCCATTTGAATCTTACGGATAATAACCTAAAACATCTTTAAACATTTATTCAAAACTTTGGTAGGATAGTTTTTTTAACATCCAAATGAAGTATTCATTAGAAAGAAAGACAATTACTGCAGTTTCGGGGGATCTGCATCCCCAATATCGCATATTTTGACCTCAATAAATGACATATTCTTAATTTTTAGAGAGAGATTGCATATTTCATAAGTAGAGTCCATGCATACACACTTGAAATAATCCTCCATTTTAAATATTCGCTTTGACTTAAAAACGTTTGGGTAAAGGGAAAAAAAATGGATTACTGCTCAAGTACTTTAAAAAAAAATATGAGCAAATGAACCTCAAGATTCAAGAGTTCTAATTATTCCACTCGTCTATGCAATACCATTTGTACGTTCTTTATGAATATATGTGCGTTTATATAAACTGCATTCTCAAAATTATAATTCCTTAAACAAAGGTTGCTACTTTTAATATTAAATTTACTTTACTGCTTTTAATATTAAAGTTATGTTTTGCTTTTTTTCTTTCTTATTATATGAAGGATTTGATAGATTCAAGAACCTTTCAACATAATCCCTGTATAAGATAATGCAGACAGTACAAAAGCTGTAAATAGACAGTACAACAGCTGTAAAAAGAAATAGGATTTCAGTACACATTATATATATATATATATCCTTATTAGATTTTATTCATTACTAGTTTCTACATCTTCTTTCATATAAAGAAAGTTTGGTAAAATTTTATTTTGTCATTCAGTATCAATTTAAATTTAATTTAATGAATACGCATAAACTATTAGATTAAAATAAAATTTTAATTGAAAAACTGTTGTTGATTTTGCGGAGTAAATTAAAGTAAAAATTTTTGTCTAGTTACTAGAGCAGTTTTTTTTTCAATAAATTTAGAACTTCATATTCAAAACTGAAACTATATGAAAAAAAAATTAACCAAAATTAACATCTTTATTATAGTTAATGAATTTTAAGAATTTTTTCTTGAGTAGCATTGAATACGAAGAATTTTTTTTCTTGAGCAAGAATTAAATGTTAAAATTATTTTCTTCAGTAAAGAATGTATTTTTATAATTAAACTAAAGTAAATAATTTTAAACATTTGAATAGTGTTAGAGCAAAATTTATCATCTTGTGGGGTTTTATTTTAATTTTCTTAAGAGTTAATTTTATTTTTGAGGCAACTTTTCCTATACCTGCTATTTTCAACCCACGCTTTCTTGCCAGAATAAGATTTCACTTTCGCATATCATGCAAAATAGGATCAGTAAGTTACTATTTAAGCTGATGTCTGAGTTATTTCAGACAGATCTCCTGCTAAGCCAGTATACCGACGAAAGTACCAAAGTATTTCAGACAGAGAGTGTTTTGCCATTCAGCTACGTTGTTTCTCGCTATTTTACGGATGTGCGTATTAATTGCCGGTTAGTCTACGTCGGTGGTAGGACGAAGAGCCAACTACGCGTTTAAATATCTCTATGCAGCTTCGGCTGATTATTCAACTTAGGATAAGTTTTAATTTTATGTTTTTATTTTGAGTTGCCGCCGAAGTATTGGCAAGGCCCTGTAAGCACCAGGAATGTCTTTTATATGTATTGTTCTTGAGTTGAATAAAAGAGTCTTTTTATATAAGATCTTTTACAAAACTTATACAAAATTACAAAATACAAGATCTATGATATGAAATTTATAAATAATTATCAAGAAAAGCAAAGAATTGAAGAGAGAGAGAGAGAGAGAGAGAGAAAAAAAAAAAAAAAAAGCAGGGTACAGAAATCAAGATTCAGCCGAAGAAAACTCAAATGGAGGTAATTTTGAACGAGTTTTTAATCTGTTGTTGTATGCTATAGCATTGAACTGTGAAATAAAAATTAGTTCGCTTTCTTTAAAATTAATACATAATATTTTTATCTCTTACGAGAGTCTGTTGTGGATGAATAATAACAATAACATATAGGAATTGCTTAGCCATTCAGTTTATTTCTAGAAAATGGTTCTTCACTTGTTTGACTAAGTCAGAGATCCCGAACCTTTTTGTCCCTAAGAACACATTCTATAATGTCTGTTGGATGACGGGCACTATTTACTTTTTAAAGGTGAATTTATAGTTGGATACAGTTAATAATACATGCACATATTAAAAAAAAAGAGAGAGAGAGAGAAAGAGATTGGCCGCTTTTCTTTATGCTGGTATTTCTATTTAATTAAAAATAAGAAAACTTTCACATAGAATTTTATTAAAAACTAAACTAAAACATTTTTATTGTGGTTGCGCAGCGGCGGGCACAGTTAAACGATCGGCGGGCGCCATGGTGCTCACGGGCATAGGGTTGGGAATCCCTGGACAACGTGTATGCTTCTTGTGATGTTTTAGAAAGTTTAAGAGTTTTCATCCACGTCCTTATCCTTTGTATCCTTTGTATTAATTTGGTTTAATCCAGAAGTCACTTCTATCAAATATACTTTCTTCAGGATTCATATCATCGAAAACTCTTCTAGATATCCACTTGGACTTCATCTAGAGATTTAGAAATTCAATTGTTTTTTAGCCAGTTTAAAGACGTTTCATCATTTTTCGTCAAAATACACAATTTCATTTCGATAAATTCGTTAACGATTTTCATAATAGTTTCACAATCATCGAAAACCTTTGGAGAGAGGGCATTTCGGAGACTAATTTATAAGCAATCAAAGTAAGTTAAATGATAAATTAATTTTCCTTTAAAACGATATTATATTATTTACTAATATTAGTGTAGCATATATCTTTAAAGCTGTGATTCTATACCCGTTTTGCCTTACGCATCCCTTTCACCATTGCTATAGGATCATTGTCCCCCTCCTTTTCAAAACTAAAGAACTGCATATACATTTATTCATATCTAGTTTATTTTTTAAAACTTTTTTTTTATAAATTAAGCAGCAAAAGTTATAGAAAATGCTGATACATACGAAAACCTGAATAAAAGCAGTTTTTTTTATATTCATAAACTGAACAGCTAAATATAATGCTGACCTCATTTTCCACTGAAACTATGCAATTCCATCCTTACTGACAGCACTTGCTTTAGCTTAAAGGGGCTCATACACCTTAAACCCCTTATGGTCTTCGAATATGTGACTGTTGCAAGAATTGGGATATTTTATTTATTTTTAAAGCAATTACTTCCACATTTTTACAGCTGACTACATAATATAGCTGCTTTAGAAACTAGTAACTAGATAGTTTGTGTTGCCAAAAATATTTTTGTAATTTAATCCGCTTTGTGACAAAATATTTCGTCATGTTTCCACCTTGCGCGCATGATATTTTAAAAATGGCTAATGGTACGTACTTGAAATTTCATGGAATTCTTTAGATAGGCACTATTTTCTAAGTGAACCAAAAATTTGATGAATATTTTAGTATTAAAAAAATTTATGCACGAAAACATTACAGATTTTTTTTAATAAAATACATTTTATAAACTCAACTCCAAATAAAAAAATTTAACACGACATTCTTAGAATTTTAGGTTCACAGTATTTTCTAACTGTTATAAAAACTATATATTAAATATGAAATTAATTTATGCAACAGAATGTTTTAAATTGTGCGCGCTATGTGGAAACTTGACGAAAAATGTTGTCACAAAGCGGATTAAATTATAAAAATATTTGTGGCAACACAAACTTTCTGATGACTATTTCAGAAAGCAGCTATATTATGTAGTCAGCTGTAAAAAGTTGGAAGTAATAGCTTTTAAAATAAATAAGTTATCCCGATTCTTGCAACAGTCACATATTCGAAGAACTTATGAATTTTAAGGTGTATGAGTCCCCTTAACAGCATCTGAGGATGATGATTTAAATATGAATAAGATTTAAAACGATGTTAAACTTTTAAATTTATGACGGAAACTCTAAAATTTTAATGAAAATATATATCTATAGGCATATTATTTTAACTGCATTATTTATATTTTAAGATTAATACCCTTCACGTAAAACTAAACGGTTATGACATTTTTTTGTCATTACTGAAGATGCTAAAATCCTTACAGGGCTTTTTTAAAAGCAGTCGTTATACCACGACTCTCACACCAGCATTAACGCTTTGCATTCAGTTGGGGTTTCCCAATTACCCATTATTTCCATATAATAATTTAACCATTTGAGTATTAATTTATTTAACTTCTTGGAATATATATGTCCGTTAGTAATCAAAGTGTTAACTGGTGGCTGAGACCCGATATTTAAATTACTTTAGTTGTTATTTTTTATTATTGGTCTTAGATCTTTTATTGATAAACTATTGTAAAATTTCTTAACAACTACGTATAATTTCCGTCCTACCATGCACTCAAATGAAGATTTTTTTTAAAAAAAACATTTTGTGTTTTATTAATTACTCCAAACAACAGAAAATCATAGCACGCGAATTGAGTAACCTACAACTATGTTACAGTCGAAGCTTACCTATTGCGATAATATTCAATCGTGGTAGGTGCTTCTTGTAAAATAAAACCTACCTCAACAAACACCGTTTTCTTGCACTTCTGCACTTCTCGTTTCTGCTAGTCTACACAGTAATGAACAATATCTCTTTTATAAGCAATAATTTCATTTTGGTGTAATACGTTTCCCATGCGTTATTTACATGAATATATACATCATAAAGTTTATTACGACTTAATTGCAATATAATTTATTTCGGAGCTTTCGTATTCTAGAGTTAAACTGATAATAATCAGCTTGAGGTAACAATACCAACAAAAGCAATTTTACTCATCCCTTCCTCTTAAATTTCACTCATTGTTTTATATTTTTC